TACAGATGATATAATTATACCCCTGAGTCCTGAATATCTCACTTGGTAAATGCCTTGTCTAGATACTCCAGATTTAGCATGACAATATTTCCCTGTCCACTATTTCAAAATGTTGTTATTTCAAGTTTCAAACTTCAGCTTCAAAAGATATATTCAAACATTTCTCAAGCTGAAGCTGTGACAGATCAAACCTGTTCCAATCTTACAAAGAGTACTGTCTGTTTATAGAATTCAAATAATTAAATAATTGGCTCACCTACATTTAATTTAATTCTCTATATCTAAATTCTCCTTTTCAAAACATTCCTCTTGAATAAGTCTTCACGAAAATACAGTGTCATATGTATGTTAATGTGTTGCATAAATGAAGGCAATATTGTCACGAAAGAAATGCATCTGATTAGGGGACAAATCTCAGGTAAACTGTCCCAGCAAAATAAAAATAGCTTAAACACAAATTGAGCTCTGAGGATGATTGTCAGGGACATCTTCTGCAGATGTGAATAAAAATTCCAAAATGAAACAAAACTCTCACTTAATGTTAATATATTCACGAATAACCAGATGGTCAGGGTGAAATGTATTTCCGCCGGTCCTATTTTTTCAAGAATAAGTGAAAAAACAACAACTAATTTTCCCCACTCAAAAAATAAAATCCTAATGCTAATGTGATATAAGTGAAATACTCATGAAATCAGTGAGAAACCTAAACTCAATCCACTTATTTTTAGTTGATATAAACAAACCAAAAGATTTAACATGGAAACTCATGTGGGTTTTTGCTTTGACTGGTGATTTTTTTTACCCCTTCTGCCTTTACTTTTTTTTGAGGACAAACATCTGTAAAACAAGAAATAAAAATGGTCCGGCCTAATCAAGATTTCATTGTAATGAACGCCATTTTTGAACAGTCTACAAATTACCTATATTAGTTTGACTGAATATATTTGGAATTTGTGAAATGAGCTCATCAGTCTTCTGTGGAGCAGCTGTACTCTGAGGACAAACAGTATACACTACTTCCCACAACTAATGTCAAGCTGAAGTTGAATGGAACAACATCCAAGAAAATGGTTTAAACATTGGTTTGATCAGTGAAACATCTGCCAAATTTCCTTCTGGGGTAGGAAGCAAGGCTGTTCAGTGACCCTTAGTTGACCATGTGTGGTTGCAAGCTCCCAGAAACCTATTCCCCTTCATCACCTTCACAACAGCTGTGCTTATAACAACACAATCCAAGATGGCTGCCATGAAGAGCAGACGGCTTGATTGACAGGAAGGGTGTACTGGGAGGTGCCTGGCCACTTGGCCAGATGCTTGGTTCATACATTCAAGGTAAGTCCACAGCGGTGTGCAATACTGACAAGCTTACTTTCAAGTTTTTCTGGGCGACTTTTGACACGATAATTCACCAAAACTCCATATCAAGATGGGAATAAGTGAATACTTCTGTAACAATAGTTCAGTCCTTAACACCAATTCTGGAGCGTAATTAAGGTAAGTTTAGCTCAGAATATTCATTCAATGGATAGACCATTGGCCAATTGGCAACTTCAGAATGTTGCAATCACTGCAACTGTCTGTCTTCTGTTTACCATGTATAACATCCCATCGACTTATCTAGGCTGGCAAATTAGAAAATAACATTATTTACAATCAGGTATTTTGCATAATATTGATTACTACAATACTTCTTCTGTTGTTTCTGTTCTCAGAGAAACATAAATCATCTCGACCAGCCATTTATTGTCTATCACTATATGAAACAGAAATGGCAAAATATATTCTAATGTGTTTTTCTTAACATTTGCTGCTGATGATTCCCTTATGACACCTTGGGTTACAATATCAGTTTACAACATCTAAACGTTATCTCTAAACATCATTCTGAATACATGAAAACTGACAACATATACCGAAAGTGACTTACAAAAGATACTGAAAGTCTAAATTGTACAAAAGAAGTAATTGTGTGGACGTTATGTGTACGGACTAATATTGAAATTCGACACTGATCATTTGCTCAATGTCATTTTAATATTGGTTACATTCAATGAACCATGATGAAGTGAGACGTAAACTGTCATTGTCCATGCATGTAAAGCCTGGTATTAATAAAGCACCTCTGACAAAGCTTCAAAATATTACCTAGAATCTGCATTGAAATCATGACTGGACTGAGAATAGCCTTTCTCAATGATCCACTGCATGTGCAAGCTGAGCTGACAGCTCACGACACACTTATTCTATAAAGTGTGCAAATCGATTGAGTTGGATAGTTCATCCCTCATGTAGACGATCTTCTCCTTATATCAGCCACACGTTCATGATACGGACACGTTGGTAAGTTTCGAGCTTAACAAGTCAACTTACAAGATGTTTTTTATAGCCTGTTATATAATAGAAGTAATCTTTGATAAAACATTTTGTTCCTGAAAATTAAATATCTGGCCAATATATTACAGACTTATAAGAACTATATTGTTTCAGATTGTCAAATTGTAATATCATAATTTTGTAAACTAGTATAGAAGCAGCCTGGAGATTCTCTTTAATCAGGCTTTGAAGCTAAACTGAAGAAATCGAGACTATATTTTGGTGTATGAGTAAGTAAGTCAGAATATCCTCTTTATGTGTATAGATAATTATTGAGATAATGTTCAGTGAATTAATTTTATGCATAGCAACCAAGGGTCATTGTAAGACATCTGTTTCACAAGTGAGTCAGACAATAATAACTTTCATTTACCGGGTAAGCATTTCTTGGGGAAGCAAACCTGGTTCGATTGTTGATGTTAATTCTATTGACCCCTATGTGTAGTGATATACTACTGTCAGATAATTAACATGCACCTGGAACTCCACTCCGTGACTGGCAGCTCCAGGCATTCCCAAGGGATGCAACTGTACACTGTGATTGCAGGCAATTAGACCACTCAGGCAATTGAACAACCACACCATCACCCAGGAGGACAATCAGACATCATGGTATAATACCATGCAGTTTGGGCCAACCAATCCACACTCAAGTTGCCTAGCATGATGATCTGCGACAGCCGACAGTAGTTATTTCAGTGTTGTCACCTCAGCCACTCTGTGTCTCTCTGGCAGAGCATGCTTTAATACCATGCAGTTTGGGCCAACCAATCCACACTCAAGTTGCCTAGCATGATGATCTGCGACAGCCGACAGTAGTTATTTCAGTGTTGTCACCTCAGCCACTCTGTGTCTCTCTGGCAGAGCATGCTTTAATACCATGCAGTTTGGGCCAACCAATCCACACTCAAGTTGCCTAGCATGATGATCTGCGACAGCCGACAGTAGTTATTTCAGTGTTGTCACCTCAGCCACTCTGTGTCATTGAAACTGTGTCATCAATACTGTCGCAATTCTGACAAACCAATTCACACTTGGGTTGTCATACATGACAATCTGTCACTGATGATAGTCAGTGTTCCATTGTATTGTCTCCTCTTGTCGATACTAACATTTTCTGTCCTTGCCCTATCGTGGTCAATATCAGTTTTCAAACAACGGCCTATTTGTAACTGTCACAGCATTGACAAGTTACAAACCCGGTCCCTACTGAGGACAAAGGTTATTTCCCACAGCACTGCGGGGTCTGAACTTCAAGAGGATTACACCACGGTACAAACCACGCACACCGTAGCTGTTTTGCATGGGGGTTCTTGTTGATGACACAGCAATAATCCATTGGCACAGTTACCTGACGTACAAAGATTAAACAGAGACATGTAGACGGCCAACCACTGCACAACACCAGCCAAATTGAGGCAGCAATAAATATCAAAGATAATTTAGGTTTTTATTTAATAAATGAGTAATAGGGATAATTGTGGGAAAATCCGTCACAATTACAACTTTGTGTTTATATTTCCTGTCTCAGAAGCACATTACTGCTGAGCGCAAAATTGGCTCTGTAACCCTTGGCTTAAAGTACTTGCTAAATCCTTCTCCTCCTAATCATCAAAAGACTATGACCTTCTACCACCAATGTTTCCTCATCATCACCATCATCATCATCATCAATTTATTTCCCAGCACCTTGTACAAGCTACACTGCAAAACTGGGATCGCTCTACTGTGTAGCAGTACTGAATGAGTACATCATCATCATCATCAATTTATTTCCCAGCACCTTGTACAAGCTACACTGCAAAACTGGGATCTCTCTACTGTGTAGCAGTACTGAATGAGTACAAAAGGCCCTAATCAGAAGAAAGTTTTATGTGAGCGATGGGAGATCCATGTGATCCCACGGCACATAAGATGAGTAATAAACTATGAATTAAGGTTGTCCTGAAAGCCACGACCTAACAAATCTGGCCTGCATACAATGTACATTTAGGTGAAATGTTTCAATATCGTTGATATGAGAAAATGCCCAAATAGACTTGTTATCATGTTGGCAAGATATACAAGTCCGATATCTATCAGTTGCTGGATACAAGCCAGGGTATGAGTGAGTGAGTGAGTGAGTGAGTGAGTGAGTGAGTGAGTGAGTGAGTGAGTGAGTGAGTGAGTGAGTGAGTGAGTGAGTGAGTGAGTGAGTGAGTGAGTGAGTGAGTGAGTGAGTGAGTGAGTGAGTGAGTGAGTGAGTGAGTGAGTGAGTGAGTGAGTGAGTGAGTGAGTGAGTGAGTGAGTGAGTGTGAGTGAGTGAGTGAGTGAGTGAGTGAGTGAGTGAGTGAGTGAGTGAGTGAGTGAGTGAGTGAGTGAGTGAGTGAGTGAGTGAGTGAGTGAGTGAGTGAGTGAGTGAGTGAGTGAGTGTAGTTTATGCCTCTTTAACAATATTCCAGCCATATCACAGCTGGGGACATCAGAAATGAGCTTCATCCTTGGCACCCATGAGGGGAAATGAACCAAATACTCAACCACCATTGATAAGAAGCAAAATGGACAACAACAGCAAACCAAACTTCACACAGGACAATAAACCAATATCATATCTGATCTTATCTAATAGTTTCTGTTATTTTCAGACATTGACGCATTTCTGATGATGATGTTGCGACGACTATGGCGACATCCCCGTTTTCTAGTCACTTTCGCCTTCGTCTGTGGCTTAAGCATCCTGGTCTGGCTCAATGTAGCACTGTCGCATCAAGAAGACAGGTTTGTACAAGGCAATCTTAGCGTTAAAGTGACTGTAATTCCAATACCTTAGCATAGACAGTGGTAGTGCTAAGGTAGTCTTGTACAATGGCAGCATTGCCTTAGCTTAGCTGCAATATTACATCTTTATTGTGGTAGTATGTACAGTTTGTACTAGTGTTGGAAATTGGTTGAAATCTCACAACTGATGATGGCTTCATTACCAACGAACAATCATCAAAAAAATTTGGTTAGCGTCATTTTTCAAATTGTCCTATCCAGGTTGTTATTGCAGATACGTATAACATGATACAACTTGCTACTTTGAAGTGATGACTAATATATCATGACCATAAACTTCCTGTAGTCTTCAAGAAATATTCAGTCATGACTTTTCAGTTAGTGAAGTGACTTTTCTAAGAATAAAACAAGTTTGCAGGCCCTGACAACTTCAAATATATGTTCCATCGTCAAGTGTTTCAAAGACTAAAACAGTAGTTCCAAAATCGTTTGCATTCGATTATGAGAAAATGTGATCGATTGCTTGGTCGTATGGTCGCTGCAACCAATCTTCGATTATTTCAAGTAAAAGGGTCTGGACTGGGTGAAGCAATATTCCAGCAATATCACAGAGGGGGTTACCAGATATAGGCTTTGTGGGGTTGAAAATCGTATCTTTGGCGTGACAAGCGAATGCTTCAAGCACGTGTTATCTCCCCACCTCTTGTACTGATTCATACTCAGAACCCAAACGGAATCATCTACGTACGATTCTTTACAAGGCAAACAATGCATCCATAACAGAACTTTGGTTAAAGGTCACATGCAACGTAAAACACAACTTTGCAGATTCTGATACCTTTCGGTGTGGACTTACCGAAACAAATCGTCAAAAATGCAAATTCAACTTATAAAGTTGAAAAATAATGCGATGAAAAAAAACGTGCGAAATCGGAGTTCAAACGTTTCACTAATTTTCCCCAGACTTTTCTGGGGAAAACGGGTTTCAACAGCTGGGCTGCGCTCATAGCATGTGCGCAGTGAAATAGGTTCGCGCAGCTAGGAAGCGGGTTGTCCGGTGAATACTCGGTGAAGGCTTTGGTGTGAGCTATTTTTCTAATGTTTTGTTGATATCTCACAGGCGCGAGCTTTTTATATGTTATGACAGTAAATTAACTGTTTATATAATTTCATTTGTCTATTTCACCACACGTTCTTCTTACCGAGTCACTTTCTCAGTTCGATACTTAAAAGCAATGTCATTATTTAGCGTTGACAGAATTTCAATATATAGATATGTCGTTGTCACAGACAAAACTCAATGTCTTGTTTTATTGACACCTGTGTGTCTGCCTGCCTGTCTGCTAATGACAATATTCAATACACAGCTGCTATCACTGACCACATGCAATTTGAACTTAACACCAATCAGGCTATACACCATTAACAAAATGCATTGATTTATGGCCCGAGTTCGGACTGTCACATTATGTAATTACACAGACAGGCAGGTGTGATACTTGAACACATGACATGTTATGATGTCCGTTGACTGCAAAATGTTTTACACAAAAAATGAGCATGTATTTACAAAACCCAACATCTCTATATATACACACACAATGACTCGTGAGGCCATCTGCAAATGAACCAGCCGTTACACTTGAGTGCACACCCACCCGCTCTGACTGGGTTCGGTATCCCGGCTGCTTCGTTTCTTGGGAAGTAAACCGAAGTACACAATATTGCACTTTTGATTTGCGATTGTACGCTTATAATTTTGTTTATATGTTTTTTCATAACCAGCAATGTATATTATATGTCATGAATAAGTGATAATTGTGTTTTAATTATGTTTGATTTTTTGGATGCATGTGACCTTTAACATTCACAATTTCGGTGAATGTATAGTGTGGAGAAGGTCCTTGGTTTTATTGTCTTGTTGTTTCTGTTTTGACATATTAAATGTTCAAACATAATTAGCATGACTTTTCATTTGTTTTACTAATGGGAATAAGAACTGCCTCATTCCCACCTGATGTGATATTGCTCACTGACTATCATATGCAATCCAATTTTTCAATCCAAAAATATACTTTCTCCTTTCAGAATCCACCAGCTTCAACGTCAGGAGAGAGTCGCGCAGCTTAAATCTCACATCAATATACTCAAGGGAGACAACTCTACTCACGCTATTAAAAGCACGAAGAAGAAAATACCAAAAGTGTTCATCTACCCACTTCCGCCAAAGTTTAACTATGATATTGAAAACTGTATATCTCCAAGCATACACAGGAACGGTCGCTTATTTAGTTGCTTCAACCTGAGCAACAATGGCTTCGGCGATTTCATGTACGAGAAAGGCGATATGAGAGTTCATAACACAAATCAATTCTCCCTGGAAGTTGTGATGCATCACCAGCTGGCTCACAGTCGATACCGAACTTATGATGCAGATGAAGCTGATGTGTTCTACATTCCATCGTACCTTGGTGTAATGTTCTTCTGCAAAAGACTCTCAATGAACGTGTCGTCAATGACAACAGAACTGTTCGATATGCTCAACACTTGGCCATATTTGAAACGGGGAAAACCTCACTTCGCAGCTCTGGCTAAAATTGAACGGGAACAATGTTCAAATAGGTATCCATACCTGAAGAATCCTCACTGTCGAAATGTCACATATCTGGGAATTGAAAAAGAGGCAACGGTATCGTGGAGAAGTCAAGTTGGAATACAGAATCAACGACTTATTGTAGTCCCGTACCCTTCGTACGTGCATCGTAACACATTGTATACATATTCCCAGGCCATAAACTCGCCTGGTTTGGACCAGAGAAAAGTCTTCTTACTTCTCGCTTCAAGCACAAGGAGAAGTAATGGCTTCCGAGCCATTCTTATAGATCAGTTTACAAACAAAATAAGAGACGTAAGTAAAGCGAAGTATTTAAAAAAATGCTACAACACTTCCTGAACAGCTGATGCTTGTGACTGATGAGTGCTCGGAGACCCATCTGAACATCACGATTGAATGGATGGAGAATAGCGTGTTTTGTCTACAACCCCATGGAGATTCGCCAACTCGCAAGAGTTTCTACGACAGTATTCAGAGTGGCTGCATCCCAGTGATTTTCAAATTCATTAATCAGAATGTGGTCTATCCATTTCAAGATGCTCTAAATTATACAGATTTTGTTGTAAGCGTTGATGCATACCACATAGACACTCACAAGGAGAACATACTTGATATATTGAGAAAAATACCTCCAAATGAGATAGAACGGCTGCACAAGAACGTGGTACGTGTTGCTAGGCAACTTCAGTATAGTGTTCCGGATAGTGTTTTTGTTGAAAACCACAAGAAAGAACATTTTGTGGATGCTGTTGATATGATAATGCATGAGATAACCAAAATATACAATTTATAAGTGAAAAACTGACTTGTCATTTGTCAAACTCCATTACGATTGAAGACAGAGAAAGCTGGATAGTTTAAGCACCTTGAGAATGAATGAGTGAGTATGGTTTTACGCCACTTTTAGCAATATTCCAGTAACATCATGGCAGGGACATCAGAAATGGGCTTCACACATTGTACCCATGTGGGGAATCGAACCTGGGTCTTGGATGTGATGAGCAAATGCTTTAACCACTAGGCTACCCCACCACCCCTCAGTACTATAAGAAGGAATACATTGAGGGAGTTCACAGCGTTGTAAGTACAGCAGTCTGTGAAAGACAGCATATAAAAAATGTGAACATTGGTTTATACATTATGCCTTAATAAATGGAGGTTTCTTTGCTTGTTGTTTAACGCAGCATTCAGCAATATGAAAGCTATATGGCTGTCTGTAAATAAGTCTAGACCACATAATCCAGTGATTGACATCATGAGCATTGATCTATGCAATTTGGATACAATGATATTTGTCAGCCAAGTCAGTGAGCCTTACCACCCCATCCTGCTAGGGGTTTCTTACAACAAGCATGGATTGCTGAAGACCAATTCTAACCCGGATCTACACGGGTCTTCTAATAAAAAGGCAAACTTTACAGCTGCTTATTGAAGCAATAATACCCAAGTCTGTGGACCATTGTATGAAATCAGAGCGATAATGTTCCGACTGATAATGCATTAACTTATTATCGGCCATACAAGAAATCAAAATCTGCAGTAGGATTCAACTAATGTTTTTGTTTTAAGGAAAGAACCTTAATAAGCCAAAGAGTGAGTGAGTGAGTGAGTGAGTGAGTGAGTGAGTGAGTGAGTGAGTGAGTGAGTGAGTGAGTGAGTGAGTGAGTGAGTGAGTGAGTGAGTATGGTTTTACGCTGCTTTTAGCAATATTCCAGTAATATCACAGTGGGGGACACCAGGAATGGGCTTTACACATTGTACCCATGTGGGGAATCAAACTCAACTCTTCGGTGTGACAAGCAAACCCTTAAACCACTGGGCTACCCCACTACCCCAGAAAGAATTTTGGTAATTTTAAAGACTTTTGAAGCACAGACTTAAAACAAGTGTCTGAAATAACAAACCTACAGCCCCTCAGAACGATCAATGGTAGCTTCTTACCCTACAGACAGCCGCCATAAAGCTGGAATATTGTTGAGGGTATCATTAAACAACAAACTAACCAACCAACCATTGAGACAGGGCAGACACATCACTGGCAGTATGTATTTGCTTGCTTTCTAAAATGATGTTCAACCAAGCGTTTATACATGAGAAGGAAAAATACACAGAAGGGTTGAAGTGCTGTTCTGTTTGCGTTAATCTTCCATTATAAAGCAATATCAGCAAATTTCAGCAATGTGGCTAGGTTCATATTTTTCACTGCACCAGTTGTGTTTTACATGATTTTATCTAGATTTTATCAGCTTATCTAATGTAATCAAGTCCTGCACCAGAAGTGCTGTCAAGCTTGGTACAATTTCTCCTGACATCATGTGATAGTCCGGCATCTGCAGCTCTCAAAACGCAGTGTGACCTTCACGTTTTATCGTGTTGGCACAAATCGGTGTAAGGGTAGACATGGACAGTAAACTTGTTTAAATCCCAATGAAAACCAGTACAGCGTTACCAACCTATAGAATATGTGCACACTATATATAGTACCAGCCACACAAAACACAAAGACGACACAATCCCTGTAAAGTGTGCAGCATAATGACTTCAATGCACAGTTTCAATGGATGGACATACTCAGTGTGGTTCTTTTGGAAACATGTCCATTGCAAAATTTACCATGGTTCAATTGAAAATGTGCTTGATTTTTATCACTATTGTGTTGTCGTTTTTTACCTCTACTTTCTTTTTGGATAGGAAGTATAAGCGTAAACAAACCTTTCAAAGACAGACATCATATGAATGCACCACCATTTCTCTTTATCACCACCCCTAAACACAACGCATGGAATGTACGCAGTGTGTCCCATACATGTGCATGGGGTGTCATTCTTGATTGTGATGGTTTTCAAGAAGGTCACTGTAGACCAATAATTTTGACAATCATTTTGCATCCCACAGTTGTTAGGGTTTGTTTCCAGACGTTTGTTTTTAAATGAAAATCTTACACATTCAAATTTCATGTCATACACCAATCATCTTTCAAGAGCGATTACTGTACAAACAACTATGGTCATAAGGAAGTGCAAGTGGTGATGCACTCTCGAAACATTCATTATTATCATATCAACATTGATTGACTCTGATATATCTCCCAATTTTTTCAATCGTATATTAAAAATGAAGTTCCCCTTCTTTTTTACAAGAACATATTTCATAGTCCAAAAGACAAAGGGATTGGGCACAAGTGCACCACTTCTGGTTGCCTTCTTTCTAAATAAAGTTAAACATAATTTTACATAAGGTGGATCAACAATTTGCGATGGAACCCTGACATTGTGGAAACATATACAGTGTTGATATATATAGAGTGTTCTGTACAGGATATATTCAACATGCTGAAAAGGTTTGCATCTCATACGTGTGCAAATACAAGTGTAGAAGTGAGCAAAGCTCACATACCCCCGCTTCCCACTTTGGGACATGGAAATGACTGATATTGATATATATAATGTCACAAGGATCAGCAGCTCACAAGACTTTCTCTTTGACTCTACTAAACTTTATATAAATGTTAGATAATAGTTTTGGCATGTACTGATTACGGTAATAATTTATGGAAACTAGATTTTTTTGTGTTTTCCGTGGAAACCTGACATGTAATTGAACTTGAGTGTGTCATGTTGCACACAATGGACGTAGATGAAGATTGCTATTTTTTAGCACATGGCATATCTGTGGGTCATGATTAACTTGTGTATTAAGTTTGGTGAACCTAGCATGTATAGTTGCGATGATATGCCGTGGTCAGGTCACCATCAAATACATTTTGCATGTACCTAGCATGAACCTAGCATGAACCTAGCATGTAAACTTTAAGAGATATGCTCTGGACAAAATAATCAAACATATTTGGCACTAAGTCATGTTTCCATGGAAACAGCAAAAAATACAATTCATATCTGGATGTAAACCCCAAAAGGCACATCTAGGGATCATGCTTGATATGTGTACCAAGTTTGATGAAGCTAGCATGTATAGTTTGGAAGATCTGCTCCGGACAAGATGACATCCTCATAGTCACAGCCTAAGTCGTGTTTCCATGGAAACAGCAAAAAAACTAAATTCTGAAAAAACTTTAAAATAGCAAAAGGCACATCAATGGGTAATGATTAACATGTGTGTGAAGTTTGGTGAACCTAGCATGTAAACTTTAAGAGATATGCTCTGGACAAAATAATCAAACATATTTGGCACTAAGTCATGTTTCCATGGAAACAGCAAAAAATACAATTCATATCTGGATCTAAACCCCAAAAGGCACATCTAGGGATCATGCTTGATATGTGTACCAAGTTTGATGAAGCTAGCATGTATAGTTTGGAAGATCTGCTCCGGACAAGATGACATCCTCATAGTCACAGCCTAAATCATGTTTCCATGGAAACAGCAAAAAAACTAAATTCTGAAAAAAAATTAAAATAGCAAAAGGCACATAAATGGGTAATGATTACTATGTGTGTGAAGTTTGGTGAACCTAGCATGTAAACTTTAAGAGATATGCTCCGGACAAAGTTTCGGGACGGACGGACGGACAGAATGAACGCTATATACCCCCGTTACTTCGTAGCGGGGGTATAATTATACAGTGTACTATTCATACATAGATTGAACTATGATTAGCAGGTTGCAGACATTACATTACATACTAACATTTGTATAGCGCCGATATCCAGCTCAGCTCAGCTGCTCAAAGGCGCTTAGCTTTTACCTCGATCACTGGATGTCAATCTCAGCGGCACATCGTATTGTCAATCTCAACTCCCTGGGGAGCATACAACTCTTGCAGCCACTTGGCGCACCGAGTTATTGTGGCATTCCTATCCTTACGATGTACCCATTCACAGCTGGGTGGACTGGGACACATAGTCACAGTACTTTGTCCACGTTTTACTGCACGTTGCTGTACCCGCAACTAGGTGTTTGCACGTATTCATGTGGCCACCATCTGGTCATATACCAACGGATTCGTGGGTTCTTTTAAGTGCACAGGGTTGTGTACTTCTTGAGATCATCGCATAGAAAGTGCATTCAAAACAGAAATGGAATTAATTACACAGCAAACTCTTTGCTCATCGTGTCTTGTTTGCAATGTGTGGCTTTTTCTTCTTGCATGGTTTATATACACCATATTTTGGTAACTCTCTCAAGGTGAGTGAGTGAGTGAGTGAGTATGGTTTTATCCCAGCAATATCACGGCAGGGGATGCCAGAAATGGGCTTCACACATTGTACCCATGTGGGGAATCGAACCCGGGTCTTCGGCGTGATGAGTAACACTTTAACCACTAACCTACCCTGCTCTCTCAGTTTTTCATGAATATGGCTGTAGTTGTATTTAGCAGGGTTATGACTGGAGACTCTTTCTTAAGCCGTTCCTGAAAAAAGCTCTGTGACTTACCGGAATTTGAAAGGCATGAACTGTATCGTCCAGGAACTGGACTCTGAGACTGACGAACTTCCCCTTGCGGGGAGACTTGGGGGACAGGGGGTCCGACATCCCAGGGGCTACTGTCCGGCGGTCTCCGCCGTCATATCAACATCCTCTCGCACTGCAAACACAAACAGGAAACACTGTCACACACTGTAACACCATTATTGTCATATACTGTAACACCAATATTGTACACTGTCACACACTGTAACACCATTATTGTCATATACTGTAACACCATTATTGTCATATACTGTAACACCATTATTGTCATATACTGTAACACCATTATTGTCATATACTGTAACACCATTATTGTCATATACTGTAACACCATTATTGTCATATACTGTAACACCATTATTGTCATATACTGTAACACCATTATTGTCATACACTGTAACACCATTATTGTCATATACTGTAACACCATTATTGTCATATACTGTAACACCATTATTGTCATATACTGTAACACCATTATTGTCATATACTGTAACACCATTATTGTCATATACTGTAACACCATTATTGTCATATACTGTAACACCATTATTGTCATATACTGTAACACCATTATTGTCATATACTGTAACACCATTATTGTCATATACTGTAACACCATTATTGTCATATACTGTAACACCATTATTGTCATATACTGTAACACCATTATTGTCATATACTGTAACACCATTATTGTCATATACTGTAACACCATTATTGTCATATACTGTAACACCATTATTGTCATATACTGTAACACCATTATTGTCATATACTGTAACACCATTATTGTCATATACTGTAACACCATTATTGTCATATACTGTAACACCATTATTGTTGTGTAACATATGTCTGTATACTGTAACACCATTATTGTCATATACTGTAACACCATATATTGTCATATACTGTAACACCATTGTATTTGTCATATACTGTAACACCATTATTGTCATATACTGTAACACCATTATTGTCATATACTGTAACACCATTATTGTCATATACTGTAACACCATTATTGTCATATACTGTAACACCATTATTGTCACACACTGTAACACCATTATTGTCATATACTGTAACACCATTATTGTCATGTTGTCTGTAACACGTTATTGTCATATATTTATTGTCATACTGTAAACGTGCTTATTTTCGCGTGGTGCAATTTTCGCGGAATTGACAGTTTAGACTACATCGCGCGGTCAATTATTCGCGCAATCAGTAATTGCCGGAACTGCCAGCTGTCTCTTTTGCCGCCACTAATAGCAGTGAAAACAAACAGAGTGGCTTTACCTGTCAGGCGGCGTTTATTGCTTACTCACAGGAAATCCCTATCTGTGCGATATACTAGTACACAGTAATCCGTTTACTCACGGAAGTGATGAAAAACACATCAGTCTTATGTTCCGAATTCTGACGATCTTACGAATTAACTTCTACTGTATACGAAGCTCTTTGTGATTTCAAACAAGCCGGGTTGTTGTGAATGAGATGATTGAGTGTTAAGTGACTATTCGCTTCATGATGTACTGGTAAATAAATCTTAATGAATAAATAAAATACTGCTGTATTATTTCTTTCCGAGTCGTTTCATGGTAATCTGTTTTGTTTCAAACCATCTGTCATGTGACCAATTTCCATGGCGGCCACAACACACATTGCTGTTTTCGATAATTCGGCGATGGGATTTCGTTCATTATTTAATTATGTTTTGGTAAATCCATTACAGCGACAGTTAAGTATGATTCTTTATGCTACTATCAGTCGTCATTTTAAGATTCCCGTAGATTTCTGTCTTCAAACTTGTGTTATGGTAACAACTCAGGGGCGAGCATGGCTAGACTGAATGAATGACAGGTTCATTCGCGGTGTATAAATTTTCGCGCTCAAATGTTTTGCACGAGAAGCGCGAAAATAAAACCTGTGCGAAATATAATACGTTTACAGTATACTGTAACACCATTATTGTCACACACTGTAACACCATAATTGTCACTCTCACACACTGTAACACCATTATTGTCATATACTGCAACACCATCACTGTACACTGTCACACACTGTAACACCATTATTGTCATATACTGTAACACCATCACTGTACACTGTCACACACTGTAACACCATTATTGTCACTGTAACACACTGTAACACCATTATTGTCATATACTGTAACACCATATTGTCACTCACTGTAACACCATAATTGTCATATACTGTAACACCATAATTGTCATATACTGTAACACCATTATTATTATATACTGCAACACCATTATTGTCATATACTGCAACACCATCACTGTACACTGTCACACACTGTAACACCATTATTGTCATATACTGTAACACCATCACTGTACACTGTCACACACTGTAACACCATTATTGTCACACACTGTAACACCATAATTGTCATATACTGTAACACCATTATTGTCATATACTGCAACACCATTATTGTCACACACTGTAACACCATTATTGTCATATACTGTAACACCATTATTGTCATATACTGTAACACCATTATTGTCATATACTGTAACACCATTATTCTTATATACTGTAACACCATTATTGTCATATACTGCAACACCATTATTGTCACACACTGTAACACCATTATTGTACACTGTCACACACTGTAACACCATTATTGTCACACACTGTAACACCATTATTGTCATACACTGTAACACCATTATTGTCATATACTGTAACACCATTATTATTATATACTGTAACACCATTATTGTCATATACTGTAACACCATTATTGTCATATACTGTAACACCATTATTGTCATATACTGTAACACCATTATTGTCATATACTGTAACACCATTATTGTCATATACTGCAACACCATTATTGTCACACACTGTAACACAATTATTGTACACTGTCACACACTGTAACACCATTATTGTCATATACTGTAACACCATTATTGTCATATACTGTAACACAATTATTGTACACTGTCACACACTGCAACACCATTATTGTCATATACTGTAACACCATTATTGTCATATACTGCAACACCATTATTGTCACACACTGTAACACAATTATTGTACACTGTCACACACTGCAACACCATTATTGTCATATACTGTAACACCATTATTGTCATATACTGTAACACCATTATTATTATATACTGTAACACCATTATTGTCATATACTGTAACACCATTATTGTCATATACTGTAACACCATTATTGTCATATACTGTAACACCATTATTGTCATATACTGCAACACCATTATTGTCACACACTGTAACACAATTATTGTACACTGTCACACACTGTAACACCATTATTGTCATATACTGTAACACACACCATTATTGTCATATACTGTAACACACACCATTATTGTCATATACTGCAACACCATCACTGTACATTGTCATATACCATGTATACATTGTCACAAGTTGCAACATTATCACTGTTCACTGTCTTATACTGCAATATCAGTATTGTACATTTTCTTGTGAAAGTTAACTTTGCACATTGTTATGAGCTGTAATATCAATGTCCGATGCATCATCATAAAGTGGGCTGCGAACATAGATACAGAGAATACAGCATCCCCTCCGATACATCATCATAAAGTGGGCTGCGAACATAGATACAGAGAATACAGCATCCCCTCCGATACATCATCATAAAGTGGGCTGCGAACATAGATACAGAGAATACTGCATCCCCGCTCACAAGGTTGGTTGGTTTGTTGTTTAATGTCGCACTCAGCTATATGGCAGCAGTCTGCAAATAACAACTGATCACATGTTCCTGGATCACCTAAGGGAAGTCACTCTGTACAACAAGTTGCAGTGCCTCAGAAAACTGCCCTCCCACTCAGTGGAACAAATTTTTCAAGCGTGTTATCCATTATTTAAATATATACCAATTATGGTGCCTTTTGAAATAGTTCTGGGATCTGATTAATGTTGTAACTATCCTAATATCTGGTATAATTTTATTTAAATCTGGTGTTTCTTGTAGAAAATCAAACATGTTCCTGATATGAAGGAAATTCCGTCAGCAGCAAAGAAATACACAAACCAGAATTAGAGCTCCTGGTCAAAGGGGAGTAACTCTGTAAGGTCTACAGCTTCATACCCTCACTATGAACACAACTGCAATGTTCACCCTCTCGTTCTACAACTGGCAATAAGACATGATCTATACCAGTCAACCTGTGTTCGACGTGCTGGTTTTATTCAATGCCTATGAAATAGGTTTCCTTGAACATGTTCCCCTCGGAGGACCGAAGAAGCTGACATAAAAAAGCCACGACATGAGTAGATGAAGAGGAAAGGTCTCAATGCTAATCACCAGCAGAAGACCATTCATCACTCTAATGTCTCTCAAACATGTTCAAAGGGGCAATTGATCGCCGAAGCTGTGCTCGTAATATATCCTCAGAAGAATCATTACGCAATATAGAATAGACTGGAAAACATTCTTAAGGAAATGAAGTAATTAAAAGTCCGAGCCAACTCTCAGCTGGTTCACCAGTCTTCTCAAAGACAAATTTGTATCTCGATATTAAGTGTGAGTTTGTCATCATCACTGGCTAATTCCATGCAGCAGATTTCACAGTGAAATTGATTAAGCATTGGGCATTGTCAGAATTGTCATAAATTATGTCATATATCCCACAGCAAGTGTTTTATACTTGTATGATGGTGTCGTAAATGACAAACTGTACAATGTCTGGGTGATATTATGTCATTAAGGGAGACACGCAAGAAAGCTATGTGAATAGATTTGGCATGCTTTTCAATGAATATGACCATATAACATGATAAATGAACCAAAATACCATAAACACTGTATAACCAGTCGGAGAGCTGGCAGATGGGTCGATTGTGCTGTGTCAGCAAAATACATGGTCATATCATATTAGACTAACACTACTCCAGGACATATAGTTATCTCAAATATATTATACATCTACTAAGACATATCCAGACAAATGTTGAATTTCTTGAACTGAACAAGTCCAGAAATGGGCTTCACACATTGTATCCATGGTGAGGAATTGGACTTGGGTTCACAGAGCGAATGTTTGAACC